ATGTTCATACGTGACAGATTTTTGCTTTCCCAAGAACTGCCATATATGACAGAACTGAGTTCTAGCGAAGCCTACCTGTCCTTATCCGAACACCAAAGTTCCGGGTATACACTTTTGTGCAAGACGGAAGTCAAGTAAGTTTACCATTTGAGTTAACATGTTAAAGACAAGCTGGGATAGAAAACCAGAATGACTCGCGTCGATCCTGATAAACGTTTGACTTTCCAACCACTACGCTTTTTAACATTGAATAGGTGAAACCACTGACAGCAAACAATTCATCAGATAGACAAGCAACCTTGTAATCTGGGAGGCAGGACTGCGTAGTGCTAAGTTTGTAGTTCAAAACGTAGCCGGCAAGTAGTGGCCACCTTTTGTTGTAAGCATGCAGTGTAACAGCGTACAGACAGTACACACAAATGAAGTGAAACAAAGACAACCGAGGCCAGTCCACGAGTGATGTAGATCAGTCTCATATGAGCGATCGAATCAGAATGCGCGTACACACACACACACACACACACACACACACATAACGGCAAGACCGAGACGCAGGTACGTGAGCAGCCCAAAATGAGACACAACACAGTATCCTACAGTTCACTGTTTCTATGAGAGGGGCGAACGGGTAACGCTACTTAGGAGGAATGAAACGGCCAAGTAAGACATTCTGCTTTCTCACAGTTAGATGCGATAGAAGATGACATCAATTCCTTCAATGCATTTGCCAATCACAAGCAGAGTCGTTCTAACTTCAGCCTGGAATCTGATAATCACTGAATCAGAGGCAGGTTGGAACTCCTGAAAACGGTCCACATCAGCAAAGTACGTGGAGATTACTACACCTAACCTTATGAGTAGCGTGGCAGATTTGACAATTTAGAGGAAACCTAACTGTTAAAAATCTGGACTCCGGCTGGAACAGAATGCGACAGAAACAGTATGCCTGAAAGCGGCAACGGTTTGCCAGCTGAACTACGAAGTCAAACCAGGAGCTTAGAATTGTCATATTAGGACACGGTTGCCCGCGCAACTCACTGTGTCAAATAGAAGCGGAGTAACTGCAAAAGCATGATTTCTCATAAAGTTCGCGCTGCAATCCACGAACACCATTGTTGGATAGTGAAACTGTATTAGATATAATAATGTGATAGATTTGATAATTTGCACAACTGAGTTTTCTATAAATTACCAAACCTGTCACATTACTGATAAGTAATACAAATTCAATTTCCAACAACGGCGTCGGCGGATTCCACCGTAAACTGTTTGAGAACTCCTAATTGAGTAGTCAATTCGCTGGACCATATGAGAAAGTAGGTTGAGGCGGGTAACCGTATAAATGTGACCAATATTAGTTTGGGGTTCGGCTTCGTAGCTCAGCTGGCAGAGCGTCTTGGCGCGTTTAAGCATACTGTTTTTGTCGCCGGTTCGAATCCAGCTGAAGCCCAGATTTTTTCGCAATTGGTTCGTCTCTAAACTGTTATTGTCAAGGTGTAACTCCTACCATACATGAAAAACAACTGCGATGATATCACATCGCATAAGTCCGCAGCGTACCGACAAAGTTAAACAAAACCCTTTTTGATCTAAATTTAAAAAACGAAACACGTACCAACTTCAGTCAAAAATGAGAGCCGTCACAACAAGCCAAACCAGACGAATTGAGACAAAAGGTTAGCAGAGGAAAAAAAATCCACTTTATTGGAAAAGTACATTGCCCGAAATCAAGGGCGGTGTTATACATAATGGGAAATCCTCAGTGAGTAGGGTTTAGTTGAGAACGCAGATAATTTTTTAAAAAAGAGATCACAGTGAACGGTACAAATACAGACAAAGTATTGTGCTCATCAGACCAACCAGGGCATTTTCATTCCGCTTCCGAGCGTGGCGGTCCAGTAACGTTCATAAATGCACGTGTGTCCTTTTTCCCGAAAGAGAAGCTACTCTTGCCTACAAGTACAATAAGTGGAAGACCGATAGACAAACAAAGAAGACAGTTTTACCAAACAAGAATCAAAACACGAATAGAAACGGAAAAATACGTTAATGATTCAACAAAATGCAAGAATTGTGCCCAGGTTCACTTACATTTTCTAAGCAGGCTNTATACATAATGGGAAATCCTCAGTGAGTAGGGTTTAGTTGAGAACGCAGATAATTTTTTAAAAAAGAGATCACAGTGAACGGTACAAATACAGACAAAGTATTGTGCTCATCAGACCAACCAGGGCATTTTCATTCCGCTTCCGAGCGTGGCGGTCCAGTAACGTTCATAAATGCACGTGTGTCCTTTTTCCCGAAAGAGAAGCTACTCTTGCCTACAAGTACAATAAGTGGAAGACCGATAGACAAACAAAGAAGACAGTTTTACCAAACAAGAATCAAAACACGAATAGAAACGGAAAAATACGTTAATGATTCAACCAAACGCAAGAATTGTGCCCAGGTTCACTTACATTTTCTAAGCAGGCTGATCTTACCGCTGTCCAGACCAACGGCTTTGATATGTTAAATGGCCATAGTTGATACGACAAAATCCTGACGTTCTTAACTAATTCTCGATCAGGTCCATGATAGATTCCCTCACAAGAATAGTAAATCAGGCCATGAATTTGACACTTGCCAAGTTGGGCTTCCGAAACAAAATAAACGATAACATTTAAAATAGATTGGTTAAGTGTCGCTTGATAACCGCCACAAAAAGTATGTGCTAGGCGAGATAAATGACTCTTTCTTGTCCAATTTCACATCAACTACCTCAGTAATAGCAAAGATATTCGGGGTTCCGATGTATGGAGAATGATCTAGCAAATCCTTGCCGACCAAGACTGTAAATCCTGTGCTCTTGAACATCCAAGGATATGCTACAGTTGCCACAAAAAGCAGGACGAATTATTTACCTATGCATGCTATTTGAGCAAAACAGCACTCAAGGAAATGGATGAACACACTTCGTACTGACTCATCAGTAACAAATGTGCAATGACTTTTTATCAAACAACTGCGGAGACAGGTAACCAATCTTCGGATAGAAAAGTTCACTAAGCCCATGGCAAGGTCAGATTCACGAACGAGTGCTTCTGAACACATAAAGACGGCTTGAGTAGATTGACTAAAACCGTTTGAGTAAACCGTGGGAATTCTGGATTTTAATGACTTAATAGGGTTCTGAATGCAATGCTCGGTCGACAGCGTGGCCGGTGGTCAGGACGTGTATAGCCAGTGCTGACACTGGTGGTATGCGTATTTCAGCGACATTGCTGTTCTTCGACAAACGAATCTTTGCAGCCACTTCGACAAACACTTGCTCACTCCAGAGAGCAAGCATCTTTCAGTTCCGTTTATTTGACGTTCCCCCTAGACATCAACTGTCAAGCACAATGTGGAATAGCGTCAATGGATTAATCTCTTCTGACTGAAAGCACTGGCCTTTTCGGAGTCCCCACGAATACACGAAGTCTGATTACAATAAATGTTCGTTCAATCGAATTTATTAATCCTTGTATTGTTTAATGTATAATGTAATCATGATTAAAAGATAACTCTGTGCATACCTTTTCCTCTATGGTGACCAACTCTTCTATTAAACTTTTCGGGGGATAACCATTAGATTGTAGAACGGATCTGAACAGGTCAAGTTCTACCGGAAGACTGTTTTGTGTAGAGACTCGTCTTGCATGTGCAAACAATGAATTCACCCGTGTATGCTGTATGATACTACTGAAGTCCAAGTATTAACCGGACCATGTAGATTGCCCATAGGCAGCGCCTTGTAATAAGAACATCTCGCTCACCTATGCGTAGGCCCAAAAAGGTCCTCGAATTTGCATAAGTTCAGGTTACAATGAAAATTGTTTGGGCGTTGTGCCAGATTGTTTATAACTCGGCTAGACCGACTATCGTGGACGTAGCATTTGTAGTATGACAAACTTGTAGTATTGAAAATAACAAATTCATTTACTCTCAAATCAAAAGTTTGAAATGTTATCCCAGGTTCGAAAAGTTGCACAGTAGAAGGTCTTGTAATTGTAATTCTTCTGGGATGTTGGCGCAAACTCTTCACAACGAATATCCCCAGAGAAAAAATCTGAAGGAATCTAGTTTGGCAATCAGGACGGTTATCGGGACCACCAGTGTATAACGACCCACAGTGTAGATGGTACCCTCACATACAAAACACGTGACATCGTGATTTGTCATCCTAATATACAGACGGCGCTAAACCCAGCACTGGAATTAGAATTCTTATATAGATAACTAAGAGGAACCTAACTTGGACAGCGCTCAGACTGGCAATAGCCAATAGGTCAAGCAAAGTTAAGTTTCTGGCTAAGGACAGCCCGAAGTGGTTGGGAGTATCGATGAATTCGGTATCTCAGTTTGATGAAGGTTTTAGTGTGCAACTGCTCATCGAAAGTGACATTTAGGTTGTTAGCGTTTCATCCAAAAACAAGCTCTATAATTGATAAGCAACGAAAAGCATTCTGGAAGAGTGAAAATGTGCGGCATATCGTTTTCACTGCTGGTCACCTGTTGTCTGCTGTAGGTTGAAGTAAGCATGTATGATGTCAGATAAGCTGTGGTTGTCTCAGTTTTGCCACCCAAGTACCCAATCATTTTCGTCTAGTCTTAATTCTGCACTTCATTCCCTAACAGTTTTCACTAAATTCATTGCACCATCTAAAGATATCTTTATATATCAATACATGGACATAAGCTTCTTCGATCAGTAAGCTTTCAGGATGTTAAAAACTATAACAATAATAGACCATCTGGGCTGCAGCCAAAGGCAATTAAATTTTTACGTCATTCATTGGTCATCCGGAAGCACGGTTTTTATTGATAACCTCTGTTGGTTTCTTCTT